CAGTCTCTGTGGCTGGCATCTTCAGAGGACAGCAATCATACCAGAGCACAGGTTGCTGTCCTCTGAAGATGCTGGCCACAGAGACTGGTGAAACGTTAGGAAGAACAACCTTCAGAACACGGCCAAAGAGCCCGGAAAACCCACAACAACCCTAAGTGAAAACAACTTGAAAGCCATCCTTTGTTAAACTCTAATATTCCATTCCACCTTAACATCATTTCAATAAAGAAAACTTGGGGTGAGCTATGAAAAATAAATTTGGGAAAGAAATCTGTTTGATTTGCATTTCTGTGATACGTATTCCATGGCTGCCAAGACTGACTGTCTTACTTCTGTAACCATATATTTGCAAGGCTTGCAGTGAACTTCAGAGGGAAACAATACACACAAAACGGCATGTACATTTTAAAGATGTGTAGCCAAAGTGACACATTTTGCTTTAGTCAGTGCAAGAACATGTATTTTAGAAAAATGTGAAGAGTTCAAAGAAATGGATGGAAAAAATATACTTAAATGTACATGTGGAGATAAAAATGTTCCCTAACCAGATGCAGAAATGGGGTGGAAGACATATACGGGTGGAAATTGAGTGTTTCAGCAAGAATGAAATTGATGGATTTACACACTGCTGTGCAAAGTAGGGTTTATTCAGTTCTCAGGTGATCCATTGACTTGGGCAAAGCTACTGGGTTGCAATTTTGCAGTCTTGAACTTCCTTACAGAGGGAAAGATTTGTCTGTTGGCCCATGTATTGAGGGAGGAGGGTAGCTTTAGGCCCACGATATGAAACTGCCTCGTGCTGAACCATCAAACCATTGATCCATTAGTGTTGGCTATTCTGTGTGTACAAAGGCAAAGCTTGGAAAAGTTACTTGGTCACACTAGTGGATGCATTCAGGAAGTAATGGTTTCATTTTTTTCTCCCGGGCTCTGCATCAAATCTGTAGGCAGACAATATTCCCATGATTTAATTCTTATTCATCCTTTCCACTGGAGATGCCAAGGACCTGATCTGTGACCTTCTGTATGCAAATTGGGTCCTCTAGCACTGACCTATGGCTCTGTTTTACTGGAGACTCTAAGTGCATCCTTTTACAGTTTGCCACGTAACTGTGTGACTGAACTGATTGCTAATGGATTGGAAGTACTGCTGCTAGACTACAAGTTTACAAGTTAATTATGCAGGCTACACATTGCCCCCCCCCAGCAAGCTGGGTACTCATTTTACCGACCTCAGAAGGATAGAAGGCTGAGTCAACCTTGAGCCAGCTACGTTGAATTGAACCCCAGGTCCTGAGCACAGTTTTGGCTGTGGTACAGCAGTTTAACCACTGTGCAACGAGGCTCTAGCAGCGGTCCCCAACCTTTTCCCAACCGTTGACCAGTTGGGGGGAGTCTGTGTGCACAAGGGCATGGTGCACTCACGGGCATGTGTAGGGCACATGCTTGTGGGGGAGACAGATTATCTGTGTCCGCGACCCGCTCCTGCCTAGGCCATGGACCGGTGCCAGGTTGCAGACCAGGGGTTGAGGACTTCTGATGTATAGGGTTCGATATTATCCATGGTTTTCAGCAAAGGTGTTTGGAACTGATTCCCTGCAGATACAAGTGTGCATCGTTACAGAATGCCTAGGACCATTATAGGGCTTTCCTGTGAACTTCCCACCCCACTTTATTTATTTCATTTATTAGAAAAATCCCTGAATGGTTAATGGCAGTGCAGTGTGAAATATCAATAAATGCAGTAAAAACAAGATAACAGAACAAATAAAGCAATGAAATATTTTGCTATAATCACTAAGGGTGGCTGGCTCTTTAAACAGGGCAGTGCAAACATTCTGCATATTTGGAGAGATCTACACTTTCTTTGCATGCAAGAAGTGTCAGGTTCCATTCCTGACACATATTTTTATTTATTTAATTAATTTCTGTGCCACCCACTCAAAGGTCTCTGGGCGGCTTACAACAATTAAAATTCAATTAAAATACAATAAAAGATAAAATGATTAAAATACAATTAAAATTGCCATCAGAACCCACAGTTGATGTTATTTCAATTAAAAGCCTTCTGGAACAGGAAGGTTTTGACCTGGC